TAGAGTTAAGTTATCTTTCTAAAAGTCGAGTTAAGTTTTCAAGCTTATTCAAAAAAAATATGAGGTTCCACGAGACAATTGTATGCGATACGAAGGTGATTATGAGATTATGAGAATAAGAGTACCAATGAGCCAAGATTGGCTAAGTTCTTGTTATGGCCTATTATGTGCATTCAAAGATCATATCATACATGGCATATTATGCATGGACTTCGAGCTATAATCGGAGGTAAGGGGCCTATTTACCCGAAAGACTATATGTATTGTACAGATGGCCACAAGTTGGCAATATGATACCGGTTAGCTACCGGAAAAGACCGCCATTGCTAGCATTTGGTTGGGTATGTCATGCATTTGCATCAATATATATGTATTCACGACATTACACGAGCATACCATGCATATTTGATTACTATGAGGTCGGATGTCGGCCATGGAGGCTATCAGAGTTTCAGTGTCAGGTGGTATCTCTATTACTGTTTTTTTCATCAGATATGTATGATTCCACTTTCTGCCTTACATACCAGTACATTTTTATTCGTACTGATGTCCCGTTGCCTGGGGACACTGCATTTTTGTTTCGTGCGTGCAGGTCCAGGTAGGGACTCTGATCGACCCCTCCGCTAGGATTTTGGGGTTCAGCTGGGAGTTGGTAAGCTCCACCTCTTCCTGGAGCTATCATAGGATGGTTACTTTTGTTGTACAGTTTGGGTATAGTCGGGGCCTTATCCCGACAGTGCTTATGACACTCTTAGAGGCTATTGTGGACATAGTATTCTGGGTTTCTTTTTTTTTCCAGCTTTCAGTCTCCAGCCCATAGACTTGGCATGTATATATATGTGTGTAAGCATGTATATCTCAAATTGCGGCCTCGTCGGCCAGCTAGTACTTTATTATTTTAGCTCGTCTACCTTTGTTTATATGGCTTATTGTTATTCAGGTCATGACCTTAATGGTCCAGGCTTAGTATTTCAGATGTTGTGCTGTCCAATCTATTGGGTCCCCAGTTTAGTTAGCTAGTATGTTTAGTGGCTAACTCGATCGAATACAGTATCGAGTGCCAGTCGTGCCTCCCCTAGTTTGGGGCGTGACAAACTTGGTATCAGAGCAGGTCGTATCCTAGGGAGTCCACAAGCAGTGTCTAGTAGAGTCTTGCTTATGGGTGTGTTGTGCACCACACTTATAATCAGGAGGCTATGAGGCATTTAGGAATGGTTACGTTTTTTTTCAATTAATAGATCGTGCTATAGAGCGAAGTTATAAGAACATATGAAATCTAAGTCGTGCTTTGTGTTTCTTATCTAACAGGCTACCTACACTCAGGAGATGGCACAGCGAGAGATGGGTATGGATCTGGGGGAAGGTACCAGTCGTTCCCCACCAGGTCAGAGGGATAGATTTCCCTTTGAGGCACACAGTGAGTCTCCAGTAGCCCTAGTTTCACCTTCCCCAGCACTTGTTGGAGCCCAGGGAGATGTAGTACCCCCAGCCTCACCAGTTCCATTAGTACCTGAGGCAACTAAAGACACAGGACCTCCAACACATGTTGTCCCCCCATCAGAGACTGGGGAGCAGGGGATGAGGGAGGCAGTTCAGTTGCTGACTAGGATGGTTTCTATTCATGAGCGACAGCTAGAGTCGGGAGCAGATGCTCGGAGAGATCGGACAGGAAGCTCGACGGTACGAGAGTTTCTTCACTTGGCCCCTCCATTATTTACAGGATCCAGTTCCACTGAGGCTCCCCAGGACTTTATAGACAATATGTATAGAGTATTGAGGGTGATGCATGCCTCTGTCACAGAGGCTCTGGAGTTGGCTTCTTTTCGACTACGTGATGTAGCCGTCCTATGGTATGAGGCATGGGAGAGATCTAGAGGACCTGATGCTCCGCCAGCAGAGTGGGAGGACTTCTCTGAGGTATTTTTAGCCCATTATTTGCCACAGGAGGTTCGGGAGGCCCGTCTTGACTAGTTTCTTAGCCTGAAGCAGGGGGATATGAGTGTGAGGGATTATAGCCATAAGTTTAATTCTTTGGAGAGTTATGCACCAGATATCGTACGTACCATGAGGGCTAGAGTTCATCATTATGTGGATGGTTTGGGGGATTATCTGATTAGAGACTGTAGGGTGCCATCCCTATCGGATGATGTAGATATTTCTCGCATACAGGCTTTCGCTCGGACTATAGAGGACCTTTCCCCTCGGATTCGTGATACTCGTAAGGATAGGGAGTAGAGTAAGAGGTCTCGTACTAAGGGGTCTTATAGGGATCTACGGAGTGATTTTAGGCCCCCACTCCATCGATATCCACCTCGGTCAGCAAGTAGTTTCCCACCACAGATGCAAGGCCAGCGGTTTGATCGTTATATTCAGTCAGGACCGAGGTAGAGCTCGGGCCAACCTGAGAGCCATCGACAGGAGCGTTTCGCACAAATGAGACAGCCTACTCCTCCATGTACTCAATGCGGTATGCTGCACACCGGGCAGTGTAGACAGGGTTCTAATGCATGTTAACACTGTGGGCAGACAGGACATTTTATTAGCCGGTGCCCAGGGTTAGGCAGAAGTGCACCAGCTTAGCCTTCAGGATACACAGCAGCCTCTTCGCCCTCAGTCTGTGCTCCCCGACCAGGTCCACAGTCTACTCAGGGTCGTGGTAGGGGGAGAGGTGGAGGAGACACCTCGGGTTCTAGTGGTGGCCAGAACCGCTTTTATGCACTCACAGGCCGACAGGATTCAAAGGCATCCTCAGATGTTGTCACAGGTATATTGACAATACATTCTCATGCCGTTTATGCATTGATAGATCCCGGCTCTACATTTTCATATATTACTCCATTTATTGCTGGTAAGCTTGACATGAGATCTGAGTTGTTTCCACAATCAGTTGAGGTGTCTACGCCAGTTGGCGACTCTATTGTAGCTAATCATGTCTATCGAGGTTGTACAGTGTTAATTAATGACCGTCCAACCTCTGTTGATTTAGTTGAATTGGTTATGCTAGACTTCGATGTCATTATGGGTATGGATTGGTTGGCAAGTTGTTATGCTAATATTGATTGTCATGCAAAGTTGGTCCGATTTCATTTTCCTGGTGAGCCTGTCCTTGAATGGAAAGGTAATGCAACCATGCCCAGGGGTAAGTTTATTTCATACCTTAGGGCTCGGAAGTTTATTGCTAAAGGTTGTATATACCATCTGGTTCATGTCAGGGATACAGATAAGGCACCAGTGACTCTTCAGTCGGTTCATATTGTGAATGAATTCCCGACGGTATTCCCTGACGAGCTTCCAGGAATTTCCCCCGAAAGGGAAATCGATTTCGCTATAGATTTGCTTCCTGATACGCAGCCTATATCCATTCCTCCCTACAGAATGCCTCCTGCAGAGCTAAGGGAATGAAGGACAACTGAGGACTTGCTTGACAAGGACTTTATAAGGCCAAGTACATCCCCATGGGGTGCTCCGGTGCTCTTTGTTCGAAAGAAAGATGGCTCCTTGCGGATGTGTATTGACTACAGGCAGCTAAATAAAGTCACTATCAAGAATAAGTATCCTCTTCCACGGATTGATGACTTACTCGACCAGTTACAAGGTGCCAAATGCTTTTCAAAGATCGACTTGTGATCCGGTTATCGTCAGCTACGAGTCAGGGATATTGATATCCCAAAAACAGCATTTAGGACGAGGTATGGCCATTTTGAATTCCTTGTCATGTCTTTCGGGCTTACAAATGCCCCAGCAGCCTTTATGGATCTTATGACCGGGTATTCAAACCATTCTTGGATGAATTTGTGATTGTGTTTATTGACGACATCCTGATATATTCACGATCGGAAGCCGAGCATGCGAACTACTTGCGAGCTGTATTGCAGACTCTCCAGGACTACATGTTATATGCTAAATTCTCTAAATGTGAATTTTGGCTAACTTCTGTATCTTTTCTTGATCATGTTATTACCGGTGATGGTATCAAGGTTGATGGCCAAAAGATTGAAGCTGTGATGACTTGGCCGAGGCCCTTGAATCCGACAGAGGTTCGTAGCTTTTTAGGCTTGGCAGGGTATTACCGAAGGTTTGTGGAGGGATTTTCCTCTATCTCTGCACTATTGACGAAACTGACATATAAGGGAGCTAAGTTTCAGTGGACTGAGGCGTGTAAACAAAGTTTTCAGGAGGTAAAGAAAAGACTTACGATGGCACCTGTGTTGACTCTTCCGGATGGCACCGAGGGTTATGTTGTATATTGTGATGCCTCGAGAATTGGCCTAGGTTGTGTTCTTATGCAGCATGGTAAGGTTATCGCGTACGCCTCCAGATAGTTGCGGAAACATGAACAGAACTATCCTACGTACGATCTTGAGTTAGCCGCAGTTGTCTTCGCCCTAAAGATTTGGTGGCATTATCTATATGGGGTTCATATTGATGTTTTCACCGATCACTAGAGCCTTTAGTATTTATTTAAATAGAGGGAGTTGAACCTACGACAAATAAGATGGCTAGAATTACTAAAGGACTATGATGTTGATATTTTATATCATCTCGGCAAAGCTAATATTGTTGCTGATGCCCTTAGCCGGAAGTCCATGGGTAGTCTAATCCATGTTGAAGTTGATAAGGTCAAGATGACTAAATGTCTATGCCAGCTAGCTAGTTTGCAGGTTTGTTTGGTAGATGCAGAGGGTGGACGCATTCTCGTTCAGAATACGGCAAAATCTTCTTTTGTTACTGAAGTGAAAGAGCGACAACACGAGGATCCTGAGCTTATAAAACTGAGGGAAAGTATTCCACAGCAGCGACAACCTTTATTTGAGCTAGCTGGAGATGGAGTCCTTAGATACCAGGGGCGCTTGTGTGTACCGACGGTCGGAGAGCTCCGCGCCAAGATTCTTTTGGAGGCCCATTATTCTAGATATGCAGTTCACCCCGGAGCGACAAGGATGTATCGGGACCTTCGATAGATCTATTGGTGGAATGGAATGAAAAAAGATATCGCGGAGATGGTAGCCCAATGTCCCAACTGCCAGCAAGTTAAAGCCGAACATCAGAGGCCTGGAGGCCTAACTCAGTATATTGAACTTCCATTATGGAAATGGGACATGATAAATATGGACTTCATCACTGGTTTGCCTCGTACCCTACAGAGGTATGATTCTATTTGGGTAATTATTGATAGGCTTACAAAATTTGCTCATTTCTTGCCAGTCAGGACGACATATTCAGCCGAGGATTATGCCAAGCTTTACATTTGAGAGATTGTTCACCTTCGCGGAGTGCCATTATCTATTATCTATGATCGAGGGGCTCAATTTACAGCACATTTTTGGAAATCTTTTCAGAAGGGTCTAGGCACGCAGGTAAATCTTAGCACCGCTTTTCATCCACAAACTGATGGACAGGCAGAGCGTACTATTCAGACAGTTGAGGATATGTTACGTGCCTGCGTGCTAGATTTTAAAGGAAGTTGGGATGATCATCTACCTCTTATTGAGTTCGCTTATAATAACAGCTTCCAAGCTAGTATTCAGATGGCTCCTTACGAAGCATTATACGGGCGAAAGTGTAGGTCGCTGATCGGTTGGTTCGAGGTCGGGGAAGCAGAGTTGCTAGGTCCTAATTTAGTTCATCAAGCAATGGAAAAGGTAAAACTTATTAGAGACCGGCTGCGTACAGCACAAAGTCGGCAGAAGTCTTATGCAGATGTTTGACGACGAGACTTAGAGTTTGATGTAGAAGATTGGGTTTTCCTGAAAGTATCGCCTATGAAGGGCGTCATGCGATTTGGAAAGAAGGGGAAGCTCATCCCCAGGTATATTGGACCGTATAAGATTATTCGGAGGATTGGTAGGGTGGCGTACGAGCTTGATTTGCCTTCAGAATTGGAAGCAGTCCATCCTGTGCTTCATGTATCTATGTTGCGGAAGTGCATTGGAGATCCTTCACGTATTACGCCCATTGAGGATATTTCATTGCTGAAGACTTATCTTATGCAGAGGTACTAGTAGCTATTTTAGATTGGCAAGTAAGAAAGCTTCGCACTAAAGAAGTGGCTTCCGTGAAAGTGTTATGGCAAGATAACAATATCGAGGAAATGACCTGGGAAGCTGGGGAGGAAATGAGGAAGAAGTACCCCCACCTATTTATGACTTAAGGTGAGTCGCATTTAAATAATTGGCAATTATTTTTTACAACAACTTAATTGGATTTTGAATGACTTGAAAGTGCAATTTAAATTTCTTATTGCGAGATAGCTATACGAAGCCTAGTAGTTGGAATCTTCAGAATTTGATTTATGCTTTGCAAATGAATCAAATATATCCTCACAAATAACGTATTAGCGGAAAAGAAATGAAACCAAGGAATTGACTTGACCCATTCGCGGACGAATGTTCTTAAGGGGGGGAGACTGTGAGACCCCATGTTTTTTTTTCTCTTCTCTTACGCAGTATACGTAACGCGGTGTGGTTATATTAGGTATATATGATTGGGTATAACATCACACTTGTCACATGTTATGATTTGGAGTCAAGCAAGTTGCGAAATAAAGGTTGGCAAAAGTTATCGTAAATTTCTCTAATAAATTTTCTAAATTTTTGGTCAAATGTATCAGATGATTTCTCCAAATATATAAAGATTTATGAGACCCACAACCTATCGAATCGAAGGTCTACGAGTCTAGTTTTTAACCAAAAAAACCTCACATCAAACAGACATTGGAGTAAAAAGCTATGACTGTTTTACCCCGGACTGTCCAAGCTGAAACCGGGTCGCGAACCGGGTCGGGTCAAACAAGTGGTATAATATCACGATCCGGATTTCCCACCGTCGCGAGTCGTGATGGTGCCTACTATTAGGAGCTAGGCAAGCCAACTAATTATTAACCTTTTAGGCAACATCGGCAACATTAAGGCAATGAGACATTTAATATAAAAGCGGAAATTTTAAGTATAAATGAACTGAAAACAAGTGCGGGAATTCAATTTCAACTTCTACCCAAGACTGGAGTCACTAACTCACGAACGTCTATAGAATACTAAAAACAGAGTCTGAATAAAATACAATACTCTTTGTTCTGGTACAAGGACAACAAACGAAATAAGAATAGAAGAGACTCCGGGCCATGCGGACGTCAACAAGGCTACCTCAGAATCTCTGGACTGAAGTCAACTCCCAACGCTCCTACTGCTGTCCAAAAGCTGCTGCTCCGGCACTGTGATCTGTGCAAAAATGATGCACAGAGTGTAGCATCAGCACAACCAAACCCATGTGTTGGTAAGTGCCTAGCCTAACCCCGGCGAAGTAGTGACGAGGCTAGACCAGACTACCAGATAAACCTGTGCAGATATATATATACAAGTACAAGAAAATAATAACGGAAAGTAAGCAATTAAAACTGGGAGGGGGAAACATGCTTATGGGGAAGCAGATAAAACAGAATATCAGGAATAACAAAAGAAACTACATCTGATTTCTTCTAACACAGAATAAAGGAAAACAAACCACTTTCACCTATTTCAATTTCCTCTCATTGCAGGCGTGCAACACGATCCCATTTCCTTACATCACGTGGTAGGCGTACCACACGCTCCCATTACAATAATATCACGTGGTCGGCGTGCCACACGTTCCCATTTCATAATAACTCGTGGTCGGCGTGCCACACGATCCCATTTCATAATATCTCGTGGTCGGCGTGCCACACGATCCCATTTCTCTCAACACAATACACAACATAATCCCGGCAAGGGAGAAAGATGTTATAATAACTATCCCGGCAAGGGAGCAATGTAATATAACAAACTATCCCGGCAAGGGAGATCCAGCTATAACCAAACTCATTCAATTTCCACTTAACAACATTAAATCCACACTTAGTCTCAACAATTACTGGCTCAGTGTTAAAGATTTCCGACCAATTCCTCATAAATAACAATTACAAATTCGATAATTTAGCAAGTTAGGACTCACGGTCATGCTCGACACCAGTGTATAGATACTCGTCACCATGCCTATACACCGTACTCGACAAATAGCAATTAACAATTGAGACTCTACTCCTATTCCCTCAAGCCAAAGTTAGACCAAACACTTACCTCAAATGCTCCAAACTCAACTCAAGCCTCTAGTATAGCTTTACCCCTCGAATTCACCACCAAACCGCTCGAATCTAGTCACAAACTACTTGAAGTATCAACAAATGCTAATTGAATCAATTTGGATGCATGAAAATGAATTTCCCAAAGTTTTACCCAAAATTTCCCAAAACGCCCCCGGGCCCACGTGGTCAAAACCCGAGGTTCGAACCAGAACCCGGTTACCCATTCCCCCACGAGTTCATATCTATGATTTGTTTTGGAACCGAACCTCAAATTGAGGTCCAACTCCCCAATTTGAAGAAAACCTAGGTTCTACCCAAAATCCCTATTTTCACCCATGAAAATCCTTGATTTTAAGATGAAATGCGAACCTGGGTTCGCAAGGTCTGGGAATGGCGAGATTTTAGTTCGCATTTGTGAACTTGAAGAAAAGTGGAAGGTTCGCATTTGCGATTGAACTCTTCGCATTTGCGAAGGTTGGGCTCATGGGCAGGCATCGCATTTGCGCAATTACTTCGCATTTGCGAAGATTGCTGCCCAGGTGAAGGATCGCATTTGCGATGGGAAGCTCGCAATTGCGAGTTCGCTTTTGCGAAAGCTGGCTTCGCAATTGCGAAGCCTGCAGAACTGAAGGATACTAGATTTTTTTCAAAGGCTCAAAATGCAACTCGACACCTATCCAAAACTCACCCGAGCCCTCGGGCCTCCAAACCAAATATGCACACAACCTCAAAAACATCCTACGGACTTACTCGTGCAATCAAATCGCCAAAATAACATCATATACATAGAATCAAGCCTCAAATCACATGATTTCTTCCAACTTTTCATACAACACAAATTTTCCATTTTAAGTCCGAAACACGTCAAATGACGTCCGTTTTCAACCAAATTTTACAGAAAGTGCTTAAATCACATATAAGACTTGTACCGGGCGTCGGAACCAAAATACGAGCCCGATACCATAGTCTTCTGATCAAATTTCATTTCCATTTTCCTTATTTAATTTCAGAAAACAATTTCACGCAGAAATTTATTTCTCGGGCTTGGGACCTCGGAATTCGATTCCGGGCATACGCCCAAGTCCCATATTTTTCTACGGACCTTCCGGGACCGTCCAATCACAAGTCCGGGTCCGTTTACCTAAAATGTTGACCAAAGTCAACTTTAACCATATTAATATCAAAATTCATCAATTTTTACATAGAATTCATATTTAAGCTTTTCGACTACACGCCCGGACTGCGCACGCAAATCGAGGCAAGTAAAAAATGAGGTTTTCAAGGCCTCGGAAGCACGGAATGAAAGGGAAAACAGGTGATGACCCTTTGGGTCATCACATTCTCCACCTCTAAAACAACCGTTCGTCCTCGAACGGACAAAAGAAAGAAGTACCTGAGTCGGGAAATAGATGGGGATAACGGCTCCGCATATCAAACTCGGACTCCCAGGTCGATGCCTCAGGAGGCTGACCTCTCCACTAAACTCGCACTGAAGGAAAACTCTTCGACCTCAACTGTAGAACCTGCCGGTCTAGAATAGCTACCGGCTCCTCCTCATAAGACAGATCCTTGTCCAACTGGACAATGCTGAAATCTAACACGTGGGCTGGATCGCCGTGATACCTCCGAAGCATGGACACATAAAACACTGGATGCACGGCTGACAAGCTAGGCGGCAAGGCAAGTCTATAAGCCACCTCTCCCACTCGATAAAGGATCTCAAAGGGGCCAATGAACCTAGGGCTAAGCTTGCCCTTTTTCCCAAATCTCATCATGCCCTTCATAGGCGACACTCGGAGCAAGACTCGCTCACCAACCATGAAAGTTACATCCCGGACCTTATGCTCTTCATAACTCTTTTGCCGCGACTGAGCCAAACGAAGCCTGTCCTGGTTGATCTTGACCTTATCTAAGGCCTCTTGAACTAAATCTGTACCCAATAATCGAGCCTCTCCCGGCTCAAACCATCCCACTGGAGACCGGCATTGCCTACCATACAGTACCTCATATGGAGCCATCTGAATGCTGGACTGGTAGCTATTGTTGTAGGCGAACTCTGCTAAAGGCAAAAACTGATCCCACGAACCTCCAAAGTCGATAACACAAGCCCAGAGCATATCCTCCAAAATCTGAATAGTCCGCTCGGACTGACCGTCCGTCTGAGGATGGAACGCTGTGCTCAACTCGACCCGTGTGCCCAACTCTCACTGAACTGCACCCCGGAAACGCGAGGTAAACTGCGTACCCCGATCTGAAATGATAAATACCGGCACACCATGAAGGCGAACAATCTCCCGAATATAAATCTTAGCTAACCTCTCGGATGAATAGGAGACTGCCACAGGAATGAAATGTGCTGACTTGGTCAGCCTATCAACAATAACCCATATCGCATCGAACTTCTTCCGAGTCAACGGGAGTCCGGTAACGAAATCCATGGTAATCCTCTCCCATTTCCACTCGGGAAGCTCAATCCTCTGAAACAAACCACCAGGCCTCTGATGCTCATACTTAACCTACTGATAGTTCAAACATCGAGCCACATATGCAACAATATCTTTCTTCATCCTACGCCACCAATATGCTATCGCATGTCCCGATACATCTTCA